CCTTAGACATTCGTTTCATCAATTTACATGGTTTGTGAAGTTCATTGTCATGTCCTTTACTTTAAAATTCAATCATTATTTTCAACAGTATGCAAAAATATGAAATAATTATTTAACCGTGAAAGAAATTAGATCTCTTTAGATCACATATAATTTGACAAAATCTCAAAAAATCTCAAATGACATTATAAAATTATGGAGGGTGATAAACCATGTAATTATATGTATTAGCCTGAAATTAAACTTAAATTATTGTTATTGGTCCTGAATGGCATTTGGTAATCAAACTCGATGTGTAGCTCCGGAATTTAGACCCGGCTGCTTTTGGAACCAAACAGAGATGGACTGTATAGTTGTTTTATTATGAACCAAACAAACATTGTTTGCATGATCGTTAGATTTTTTTTTTGAAAAACTAGTCATTCGACAACACAGTTATTAGAATAACGAAAAGCTTGAATTGTGTTTGTAACTCTTAATAATACAGTAACATTTGTTTGCCAAAAGTGCTCCAAGAAAGAGAAGAACCAACCGATAAAGACGAATAATTCATTAATAACAACAACAGAATTTCCGACCATTCGAAGCTGAGAAATAATGGATCAACTGCAATATAGTTGATTTCTTTTCATGTGAAATGTGCGGATGCGCTCTCTTTTCGCATCCGCACATTTCACATAAATTGCCTGGTAAAATATGTCATTTAATAACCAATCTTTAGAAGTGTTTCAAGCGGAAATAGAATGAATGTTATGGCAAAAGGTTTGAATAAGTGCAGAAGTTTAGAGACTAAAAACAAACTATATTGAAAACAATTAAAACATCTTTAATAAAAAATTGCTGTTTTTTACTATTACATTCACGACATATGTAAAGTGTAAATTTTCTATTACAAATTGAGTTATGATGACGACAATGAACTTCTTTCGGAGATAAATAGTTTTTTGATAACACTCAAGAACAACACATTCCACTACATACAGTCAACAACATATTTTTAATCTTAATGAAGTCGGAATGGAAAATGTTTATTGAATTTAAAGTTTTCATTCAGAGTTACTTTCGTCTATATCTTCATACTAGATATATAAATATTAACCTAGTCAATTACATAGCAAAATAGTGAAAAACACCATTATTTTTAGTGCTTAATGCTATTAATAATGTTATGGTAAGAAACATTATTAAGTGAAGAATTCTTTAGATTTATGTATGTATATGTGATATATTCGTAATCTTTACAAAACAAGCAACAGTTTGAAATTCTTTAGAATAAACACACTAATTTTTTTCAAACAATATAATAAACTGGCTGAATGCCAATTTCTTGAATAATTAATTAATAATTGCTTTTTACAGCTAGTTCACTAGATTACGAGCTTACCACAAAGGGAGTCACACAGGATATGCCCAGGAAGCCATTCCTAGAATAAATGAAAGAAAATTACTTTTCGAAAGAAAAGACATTAAATATTATAGACTTGAGTATATATTGAAACCTTTTCAGATTTAAATTAAACTTAAAATAAAATATTTTATATTTTTTGTGTGGTCACGAGGACAAGTTCATGAAATTATTAAACACACATTCGTTAAATTTATAAAATAATTAATGCAAAATTTTTTTTTAAAAAATTACACACATATATGGAATAAATGCCTATTAACAATAACAATATAATATAAATCAAAATGTCCAATATGCATACTTATATGCACGAAATTAGAATATTTATTACCAGCTTCATTTAAACTATTAGTTTTCTCTCGTTCTATTAAATATTAAAGAAAAAATTTATTTGATAAATATACAAAATAATATGTACTTTTACATATGTATATCGAATAAATTAACAATAGCTTTTCTCAAAGAATCAAATGCATAAACTAAATTATGTTGAATTAAATAATAATGTTTTAAGGGTAATGTTTCTCAACAACTGAATTTCGAAGAAACTGGTGCAAATCTTCTGCACGATTCTATAACAGGTATAGGTCATTATTGGGTTGTGAAACCATGAATGATAACAAACATACACTTTTATACATATAAATTTATAAAATCATACAAATTTCTTGTTTCATACCACATTACGAAATCCTCTGAAGCAATAGGCAGAGATATAATTTTAAAAAAAATTGGGAGTTTAAACGTCCAGCAGCTCTGGCCCATACCTAGTGCAGAACCATTAGCGCTGAGCTTAACACCGCAAATTACTCCTGGAAAGAAATTTGGCATGATGCTCCCAATAGAGTAAGTAATAGAGTAAGAAGATTTTGGAGAAGTGGACTACAGTAAGTAAGTAACAACAACTTAACTAATAGTATGCATTACATATCACAAACGATTATTTAGGATACCTTATTTAGTAATTAAAACGCATCGATTTATAGATATTGTTTACCTAAAGCAAAAAGGATGTATGGATTGATAATGAGTTATTTTAAGGCGAGTTTACGGTTTGTGCTTTAAATGTGTGAACCATTACGATCCACACTTGGCCATTACTCGGTCATCATTATATATATATATAAATATATATATAAATACATCACGAGTTTATTTTTTTATAGATTTTTTATAGAGTGATCGACACTAATATGAAAGATGTTTTTACAACACAAGTTAACAAATATACATACTTTAATGAATTTAAATACGTAAATTAGAATAGAGAGGCAAGTTTTAACATGAAATAGGGCTCTTTTCCAAACTGTGAAGAAAACATTTAAAAATGAACATTAAAAATAATAACATTTAAAATTATAAAGTAACATATGATCCAAGATAGTTAAAGATAGTCAATGCAATACAAGAAATTTGATTAAGTTTAAAATAAAATTTACAAAGCGGATTAAAATAAAGAAACATAAAATTACATAAAAACAGAAAAATTGGCACTGATAATGCTAAGATCTCTAGATGCCTACGCCTATAGTCTTTATAACTTTATGCATTTGGATTGACTTAAAGTAAAGTTCGAGGAGATAACTGATTTCGTAAAGATATCAAAACACAATGGAAATATTATTTTATACAAACACTTAATAACGCAAAAAATGTAGTCAAAATCGGTATCATTTAATAATGGTACCGGTTCAAAGCGTTGTTTGTAGAAGCTTCAGTACAAAAAAAAAACTTTATTCATGCGTTATATGACAATGGATAAAATATGGATCCAAGTCAAATCAGCAATTAATTGAGTGGAGAGCAATGACAAACCAAAAAGCGAATGTCAGGTTCTAAGGTTTTTGTGTCCGCATTACTGTTTCAAGTATCTCAAGAAAATAGAATAATGTATATCGAATTTTATATTGCATTATTGGTGCTTTTGAAAGAAAAAAGTGTACTTTCTTGGTTTCGTATTTACTTTCATATGAGGTTACCGATTGTAAGCAACTACTACCTGTTTGAGGATCATAAATTGCTCCAGGGAAAACTATGTCAAATATATACAATATTTGACATAGTCATATGATGTCATATTCGCATTCTTTAGAAAAATTAGAATTTCCGAAAATGAAGTATATTTTACAATAATGACAATGGAAATAAAATTAGAATTTCCGAAAATGAAGTATATTTTACAATAATGACAATGGAAATAAACAATTTAAATTCAACCTATTAAGAATATAAAGTTATGTGATCAATAACTGCGTGAAAAAGTGTAAATAAAAGGTTTAAACTAGACAAATTTACATATTTAATATACAAAAAATATATATGTATAATAAACAAAAAAAATACTATAAAGAACTGACAAAAGGACTCCAAAAGTTCCACAAATTTTATATAATTCTGTCATGACCGTTTTTTTAAAAACGAAGTTTTCAATGGCATCCATTCGAGTGGAGAGAATAATGCTTTATTAATTTCAATAAATAACAAAATGGAAAGAATTATAAAAAAAATTCCAAATTTCTTTTTAAACTTACACTAAATACAATTTGCATTAAAAAATTAATTAAATCTAAATTAAAACTTTAAAATTGACTAACAAATATTAATGGTTTTGGTTTCGAAATGAATTCCAATAACTTATATTATATCTTATATAGTTTAAATAAAAAGAAAGTAATATATTTTAATAAGAATTCATTTTAGTTATCTAAAAAAAATTTGGAACCGCGAAAGTTTAAGGACTAGATATGATAAGTTAAACAAAAGCATTAAAATTTCAATATAAATAATGTTTTAATTGTTATCTATTCGATTTAAATACATGCTACAGTGAAAGCTCTTTTAAATGAACGCTGTCTTGAGCAGACATTTCTCTTAAACGTGCAAAATTGCTAGACCTCAGTTTTAATTCTTCACATAAAATACTTTATTTAAAACGGACTGTTTTTTTAATCAAACACAATTGTTGGTTCAGCTGGTATCCACTTGAAAATAACTTTTTATATGTAATAATAAAGAATTAAATAAAATAATAACAGATATATAAATTAAGATGTTAAATTGCAAAATTAAAATTTTAAGGAAGTGTTGTCTAAAATGTTTAGATTCAAAAAAAAAAAATTTCTTCATAATTCAATATTTCAAAAAAAAACATAATTTAATTAAATTACAAAGAAGCAAAATTCAGGAATCCATGATATAATAACAGCAGAAATATAACGTTATACTTACTGTTTTTTAAAAACCTTATATATTAACTAAGGTAATCAATAATCATTTGAAAGTTTAATATTGTAAATTGATTACTTCAGGTTTCTTCAGGAAACGACAACTTAAAAATTATATTCTTATTATACAAAAAAAAAACATGAAATATTATACATAAACGGATTAAAATGCTAGTATCTATTTACTAATAGTTACATAGAATAAAAACATTCAAAGTTTTAGTCGTAGATCACCTGAAACTAGATATTGTTTAAAAGCTTAAAATGTCTATAAATATTTATAATTGCACTCAACTAATAGAATTGTTTATATTATTATGTATATTATTATTAATATTAAAATATTTTGTTATGTATTTATCACTTACCCATCATATTGGACATAAATCTTGATCGCTCCATAGGTGGTATCCAAACTGCTGCTACTGGATGTATTGCGGGCCAAGAAGCACCTAACATAAATCCTAAAACTACACGTACTATAATTAATGCTACATAACTAATATGTGCTGCCAATGGTGTGATTAAAGTAAGTAAACTAGCCCAAAACATAGAGTGACCGAAAACTCGACGTCCACCTATAAGCTCCGCTAAACGTCCTCCCGGTAATTCTGTTAATATGTACCCGCCGAAGAAGCAGCCTAATACGAAATTTTTATGATATGAGTCCCATGCAAAGCGATCATCCTTTGTGTCTTCTACATTTTGTTCTGATGAAAAATCTGTGGTATTAGTACTGTTGCTATCTAACTGTGTTTCTGGTTGAACCATTTGAACAATAGCAATTGTTAAATTTACTCGCAAAGCATAGTTGAGCATAAATCCTAACATGGTAAGTATATTTAGCACTTGACGACATGATAAAAGATCTAGAATCAAAAAAGTAAAGTTACATTAGTTAAGCAACACATTTCGATCGAATTCGTTAATTTGGGAACTCGATATTCGGTATAACTTGTTTTTGTGTAATACATAAGATTGCTTTAAGAACTGCCCTTTCTAGCGGAAATAAATAAAATTTTTTTTTTTTTTCATATTTAATTTTAATAATATTAAATATGAAGTGTGCAACGTTGTGCATACAAGAAGAGAAGAGTCGAGGCATTCTAAAAGCTTAAATAATAGAGAATTTTATATATCAAAAATGCGTTTGAATATACAATTTTAATTAAATTTTGATTCAGTTATGCACATATATTTTTCTTTTTTATATAGAACATTAAACATTTATCTAAATAATTAATATCTATCGACCATATCGGTTATTCCATTGGAAACATATAAGCTAAACGATCAGAGATACATTACCAAAGATTATCTTTTTTAAAAAATGGACAACTCAGCCATTATTATAGTATAACATACAGAATGTATACATAGAAAGGATATACATAATGCTTTCTTAATATCTTGAAATTTTCCTGAGATATAGCATGGATATTTAAATATCCGACAGTCGTCAGTGTGATAATTTTTTTTATCAATTTTAAATATTTTGCATCTTTATTGTATCGAGGATACATTAAACTGTCTAGTCAGGGTGAAAGGTTTTCGTTTTTTTTTTTGCATTCCAATATTTTTGGTAACACCTTTCGTAAACATTTCCCAACAAAAAAAAATCGTGATTTGAACCTGTGAAAAATTAAAGTTAACCAGGTAAAAATTATGCTGTTCTATTTTTATGTTATAGGTTCATCTCTCCCCTTTACTTAAAAAAAAATTTACTGTGTTATCTTTCACTTAGTTCGCGCTAGAATGGTTTACGTATCCCAAGAAATGGTCTATTTAAATCGCCAATAGGCTAAAATGGGTTAAGTATCATCCGTACAGTTTTGTTCGCGCAATATAAAATGCTATTATTTGTTATAATAGTGAAAAATTTTAAAAGTTTTCTTTTTATTTTTGTTAATTTTTTGTTTGCAACGTCGTAAATACATATATGTTCTGTTGCAGTTGAATATAGTATATATATATGTATTTATATAAAATAGAGAAATGTTTTAAAAAAAAAATAAATCCTTTTAATTTTTATTATACAATTGAACATAAAACAAATGCGATTCCAATGTAAATTAAAGTACTTAAGAGTTTTCTTTCTTTAAAAAATTATTATATTGCTAAGATTCTTTTGCCTCTGCATTATTTTACAGGTGTAAACATTGCACCAGATGCCCTGGTGCACCGGCTTCAACTTGGAGAAGGACAATTGAAAGAGAAATGACAGAAGCGCACTACACATGAAACGATATATGCAGAGAAACACCTAACAGAGTGCGGTTTAAGAGAATCGTTGAGGTCTTATGCTCCACTAGCGGAAATGGATACTAAGAAGAAGAAAAAACAACAAAGCACTTGACATGTGCCGGTAAAAAGTATTAAAGTATTTGTTACATACATCTTGATATTACTTGCAACAACAAATTTTATGTACATTTATGTAGATATGTGACATATTTCACAAACTTTGATTATTAATCATTTATAGGATAAGTTAGTAACACAATTTAAATTCCAAGCCTCACTTAAAAAGTTCAATAAATTTGGACAGTGTATATTCAAAATTCGTCTAGGTTAAATCAAACTATTTATTTTATTCTGAATTAATATTATAATTAATTTTAAAGTCAATTAAGAATAAGAATGTAGACTTCTAGGTCCTTCGTCCTGAAATCAAACTATTTATTTATTCTATTATTATAATTTTTTAAAAAATCTTTAACAGTTGCTCCCAATTCGCAACAATTTTCTTATAAGATTTGATCAGTCCTTCATGTCGGATTTATAAAAATTTATTATTTTTTTTTTATTTACTGATGTACTGGATTTTATTGGAGAATGACGCAAAATATGTTGTAAAAACCGTTTTCAGCTTCTTTTTAGTATATAATTTATTATTATCCAGTGGTATTTCTTAATGAATTGGACCAACATGGGATTTCCGTAAACAAAAAATCGTAAAAATGAAAATACATTCTTTTAATTTACTTTTCTTATATTGATTGATGTATATAAGCTAATTTTAAAAAAAATCCATAAAAAAAAACCAAACATGGAATAAGTTGAGCTAATAATAAATAACCATAGAATAACCATATAGATTTTACTTACTTCTTATTTTGTTAAATCCTTCATTTTCGGTGTTAGACATTTCTGAAAAAAAAAAATAAATATAATTATTGAAATTCAGTTAAAATAAAAAATGGAAATGAGTTTGTTATTTAGATGTAAGTAATAATTTTTTTTATAATATTGTTACATTTTTTATTAAAATAAAACAGGGCGAAAGAGATCTAGTAATCCAGACCCTTATTCTAAGTTTTTTTTCTTTTTTTTCTTTTTTTTAAGTACTTATACATTTATTTATTATCTTTTCTTGCAATGAGACTAAAAATAAGTTTTAGAATCTTATGACTAATTACAATAATTTATATAAAATATAAAAATATAAAATATATATTATATGTATAACATAAAATCAAATAAGTAAACGGACCTCACTTGAATCAATGGTTTAAATTTTATTAGAGTGAATGTTGGATGGTTTATTCTAAGTTAATTTTAAAATTATTTTTAGTGTTAACTAACAATTAAATAAATATTAAAATTATATTATAAATTGAATCATTTCAAAAAAAATTTTTTGACAAACAATATATTTTTTTTTTTATTTTTTGCAAACTGGCTGATTTAATAAAAAATATTATTGCAATTGACTATCGATAAGAAATGACGTTAATTATTTGCATTTCTCAAAACATTTTTGACAAGCATTCTTTTAAAAATTCACTTTTTTCAAAACACGTAAGAGGAAAAATAAAAAAATATAATTAAATTAAAAGAAAAAGAATGATTTGGCAAATCAGATGTCAACAACTTGAATGGAGTCAATTTTTATATGATTTTTTTTCTGAGTTTTGGTAAATCATTAATTTCCCTCAGTTTGTATTTTTAATTTCTTTTTTGTTTTATTATATTTTTTCAAAAAAACTCTTTCCACGAATGTAAAGAAGTTCATCAAACTCTACAGAAACTAAGGCCTAAGAGAGTCAGTGGCATTATTTCTCAGCACGTGATTTTGGGGAAAAACTCTGAAAGTAGTTAACGATCGAAAACAAGTATTTGCTGTGGTTTAAATAACAAAGACTAGCGACAAAAAAATACTATTGTGAGAATAACAAGATCTCATACAAACTTCATCGTCGTTAAAATTAATAGGTTGACTAAAACGTGATATCATACATAAAGAAATCATTCGTTGTATTTTTATTTTTTAATTAATTTACAAAATTGCACAATAATTTTAATATAGAATTTTTTGCTAATAAATTTTGATGTTTCTAAAAAATTAATTCTTTTTTATTTTTAAGTTTTTTATATTTTAATTTTTAACTTATATAAGTAAAATATAAACCTACAAAAATTTTATACATATTTTTTTAATATTTATTTATGCATTTATATTTTTTATATTATTTTTATTATTTTTTTTATACATTTTTGTTTTTTTTATTTTTAGTTCTTTAATTTTTTTATATATATCTATATTTTAAATCTTTTTTTTTATTATACTTTTATTTTAACTAAAAATTTTTTTTTGTTACATATTTGTTGCAATTTTTTAATAAAAATATTTTGAAAAAACTATCCTGCAACGTCTTAGAAATTTAACGAGAATATTGTTATTTCAATTTTCGCAACTTATAAAAAAGAGAATTTTAATAGGGTCCTTACTTAAAAAAACTTTATAAACATTTAATTTGTTAATATTACTTTATTAAATCATTTAATGAATGTGTCATATTCATACGAAATATCATTATTCATGAACTATGAAAATACAAATGCTTTTTTATTTAATATATGTATATTTTCTAAAAATTAATTAATCGTTTTAGATGAAGTTGATTAAGTATTAATTAATAGTTCATAATACATATATAATTATTAAATAAACTTTAGAGTATGTGTAGAAAAAATATTAAAACGTAGGCAAAACTTCATGTTAAATTAATTATTATTTTATTAAAGTAAATATTTACTTTTTTATCTTATTATGTTAGGTTATGTTGATTTGACATCATGTAAGTCACATCTATATTAATTTCTAGCGGTACCAAATAAAACAAAACCTCTACTAATAGTTGCACTAGTAATAGTTAACATGTATTAATTATGTTAATGCTTTTGGCAAATCTAAAGAGCGCTTAAAGTTCCATTTCTGAGACGTTTTCCAGCTTCTCTCATTGTTGGGCCCCGAGCATTTTCGACTTCATTTAAATAATAAAGAAGATAAGCATAAAAGATATATAGATATGTGCTGCAAACTTTTCTATGGTATCTCTATACTTTAGAAAATATTTGTACATAATGTATGAGGTAATTGTTTTCATCGCTACGTAATTTAATTTTATTACAATGTATATATTTTTTATAAAATTTCAATATTAATTATTTTTTTTTTAATATGCATATTAAATTAAAAAAAGGTAACTATTTCTTTTACTACAGTTTCAACAATCATCAATAATGTTTTTGTAACAGAAGCTTTGGATAGTTCAAAAACTAACACAAATAAGAAACATTAATATAGTATATATATATTTATTTAATAGTATGCATATATAAGGTATATATATATGTATGTTATTTATTTAATATGTAATCATGGAAATAAACAATTCAATATTACAGAGCAATGAGTTTTTTGTAATCCTAGAAAAAAGTGGTAGAAGAAAAACTTAGATATAAAAAAACTGAAGTTTCACTCTGAAGGTGAAACTGAAACCTGCAGTCTAACGCATAGGACTATACTTGTTAAATGCTTGTAATAAAATTGGCTATAAATATTTTAAAAAGGGAAATTAAAAGAATATTGACGACCGAACATTTAGACAATTCACACGTTCACTATTTAATAGAGCAAAAAAAAATTGTTAAAACAAACAACATGATACATATACATGCACTAAGTGGTGCGCTGATCAAGACAAACGAGAATATTCTAGACATATAAAGATGACCTGTTGCTCTATACAACAGATTTAATATGATAAGAGAACAACATATACATACATTTTAAAATTTTAATATATTAAATATATTTTTATGGAATAAATACTTTTTTAAGGCTGCTGGAAACTAACCAAACACATTACTAGTATTTTAGAACTTACAGATATATACCATACATATGTGGATTACAGGATTCCCATGCGAACATATGTCCTTATTTCATTGTCATCTATTTTTAATCTAATCTAGCAGATAATGAGAGAATTAGTAACCAGAGTCTTCAAGCAGCAAAGCTAAAATGTATGGAGAGGGTGAATAGGGGAGTATATATTGATAAAAGCATCTTATAATCAGGTGAGACTTAAAACACTTTGTGCTGACTTTCTACTGAGCATTGATAACTAAACAAATGTTTTCATATCTGTCTAGACATAAAAATTGTGCCTTTTTAAACTTACACATGAAACACGTGTCAACAGATTGTGATACCCCGGCAATAAACATTTTCATATTTCACATTAAACGAAGTAAATTAAGACACACTATCTTATATATATAACGTACATTAAAATGTCTACAAATTTATTGTAGTTAAAGTTTTTTATTATTACTATTTAAAATTACTATGCATTTTATTACTGATTTAACGAAATTATATAAACATAGACTTCTCTACACACCGTTAAGACCGTTAAGTATAGAGAAAATAAGTTCAGAACATATCCATATTAAATTAAAAATAAAAAATTATAAACGCAGAGTTAAAAAAAAAACGATTAAAGTATTAAACAATAAAAGTACTAATGGTTTCATAAACAATTATATCGAGTATATATTACAACTCGAGTGACGTGTATCGGCACAGTTTTCAATCTCTATCTTCTCGCAGTACCCACTATTGTATATGAAAGTTGAGTTTTTTGTTCATGTTTTTTCATTAGAATAAGACTAATGAGTTCCGAGCACGAAATAGAGTTAACTCGATATTGTTCCTTTAACTGTTTTGTGAATAATCGTTGAAGTAGTGAAATGATTCACAATTTTTAGTATTTTCTGAAATAACGCTAATAAAATTTATATATAAAACATATCTGCAATTTGATCTTATAAAATTTCGATACTTTAATTCGATTAATTAATCAACTAATAAATTCTTTAATAAACATTAAAATCATCGCGTTTCATGAAAAAACCATTAATCATCAGCTGTTGTTTATTTAAAATTAATATTCTTTAAATATTTTTTATTATAAATAAGTATTCTGTTAAAACATAAACATAAACAAGATCAATCATCAGATCAGATCATTGATCAATTTAGCAAGTTTAATGATTTCAATGTCTTTTTAAAAAGATATAAAATTTTTTGGTGTCGGCTTTTAACGATTTTGAATGCTTCTGATATCGACCTACTATCAAAAAAAAAACAATGTTGTTGTTGTCAAAAAAAACAACAATGCAGATAAAAACACTTTAACCGTTGACATAATATATTTGTTATATGAAAAATTAATTAAAAATTATTTTTCGTGAATTTGGATCATTATCTGACTAATGATGAGATTAAGTTATTGTGAAATCAATTATTTTAGGACCAAACATTAGTGCAGTTCAGTTAAAAAAAACACAGATAACACCCATACATCCGATAGATTATTACTAAAATAAAACAACCAAACCGAAACGCAACATCGTCTTGTACCACATTTATAAAAATTCTTAATATGGGGAAAATAATGCTGTTTAGTTGAGATTAAATACCTAATTACTTCTTTTAAAGCCAATAAAAAATATAAAATTCTGCGATACCCGCTTATAGGTTACATAATTGCTATCTAAAATGATTGAGATAATGGAAAAGTGCATCTACTCCGTTTCTGCTCAATTTTCTCCAGACCCCGGCTATGCCACTTTTAAAAAAGCTTTATTCCCTAATCCTGTCTTTCTCTTTCTCTCTCTCTCTCCCTCTCTCTCTCTCTCTCTCAAGTGAAGTGCACTTACTCACTGTTGCCACTTATGGTACTTTAGTACCAAAATTGGTACTTTTTTTTCGTTTGGTACTCATGTTCAAAAAATGGTTCATTTTTGACGACCCAACTTTATTGTGGATATTTCCAATTAATTTTTTTTATAAATGCAACTTTGCACTATTTTATATTTTGTTCATTTATAACACTATGAAAAACACAGAACGAAAAAACAAAAAGGTCCAAAAAAATGTTGGACCTTTTTTTACAGAAATGGTACCTTTTTAAACCAATTTTGGTACAGGAAAAAATTTTCAAGTGGCAACCGTGCACTTACTAGTCGGTTTAAGTACTATAATCTGATGTCGCTTTAAATCTATCTGGTATATGTGTGAGTTTATCCAACTAGTTTTATTTACCTACTTCTGTAGAAACCACAGTTAAATTTTTTTTTTTTAATTGCTCTTATCACAATTCATATAAGAATGAACCTTTTAGGTTGACTGTATTATCAATCTAATGATTTAAATGATTTCATGAAATTTGTTAGTGTATTGCTTTTTGTATGAAGAATATAGTAAATCTAAATTAGATTGTTAATAATACACATTATTTGTTAATTTTAAATAATATCTTTTATGTTAATTCTTATCACAAGTGTGAACATATAATTTTTCTTTTCTTTTATTTTATTTTATTTAGTTATTGATTTTACATCTTATATTTCTGAATAATAAAATAAAATAATAATATATATAACCGACTCTTAATTTATGTAATAAAAACTAAATTTGGCACTAGAAAACATGAATTATTAATATAGCTCCTCGTACGAGTTGTAAGTTGTGCTAATGTAAACTATATATTACTATACGAACTATACATTATACTCGTATGAAATTAAAAACATTAATCTAATGATAAAGTACAATGAAAACTCTCCGCATGACACCAAAGTTAAGAGACCAGCCGTATTGAGAGCAGACTTTTTCTAAAACAATTTTTTTTTATATCTTTATTTGGAACAACCGTTTAGGTATAATAAAAGTTTATTGAACGCCTAAAAGTTCGCCTACATTGAGTATCCACTTAAGAGAGTTTTAAAAATCTTAATAGATTTATGAATTAAATCCGATGATATTTTATAGTTTCACTGGTTACTTTCTGTATTTACCCTGCCATTTTAAGTTCTAATTTTGAAAATTCTGAAAAATAATTATAAGTGAAGTTTATTTTAAATAAGACAAATAAAAATCGGTTGAGTTTTAAATAGTTAAAAAACTGAATTATTAATATAAGATAAAGAAGACGTTATCTCAAGCTCATCGAAAATGTATACATAAAAGATTTGTAAACATACGAAATCGTAGATGAAAAATATTTCACTTAACCCAGTTTAAAAATTTTAGAGTATATTTAAGAGTACTTAACGAACTTCAAAATAGCAAAGCAGTGCAAAAAATCACTTTTTTATGATCGATAGAGCTTAATTTTTTTAATTATTTAGTTGTATCCATCTTGGTTGCGCAGTTAATTATAGTAAATAAAAATATATGTTAAGATACTTTATAAGTACAAAAAAAGCGGGAAAATTTGAGGCGCACAAATAAAAAAAATTATGTACAAATATCTATAAAAGATTTAATTTATTTATATATATATATATAACAAATCAAGTTTATGTATTTTAAAACTTTAAATTTATTTTGAAACATTTTTTGAATAATAAAATCAGTTATATTTAAGAAGATATTATTAATTTGATATATATCAAATTCTTTACAATATATATTTTTTCTAATTCATTTAAAATTCTGTTTAAATGAATTTATATATGACCGTACGTAGAAGTATCTCTATATTCACATACCTTTTTAGAATTTATTTCAATTTATTTGTTCACTAATTTAAAATGAAATTGCTTCCTTAAATCTCCTTGTTAACTGTTTCTATTGCGGTATATAGATTGATTATAAATTGATTAGCTAATGACTTGCAAAATACTTGTATATATTGTACTTTGTACTTCTTATTTTTTTTTTTATTAATCGAATGTTTAATAAATAATTACTTTTAATTAAAATACTTTTATTATCACACTTTAAATATACTTTTATTATTCACGTTCAGCGTAAAACAAAAAGCTTCCGAAACCGTTTGTTGTGGACGTATAAATGATACTGCTTAGATTGAATTTTTTAATTTAAACCTAATTTGTTAGAGCGTAGAAAGATACGAGCGCAAAAAGATACGAGACGCGGCATACGATTGGAAATACGATTTTGAATTCGGATATTCGAGAATTAAATCGTTTACGCAAGCGCAGGGGCAAGAGAGCAAGCGAATACAAGCGAATACAAGCTTAAACGGTAAAGTTTACAATTTTCTGCTCTCCTCTTATAGACATCCAGTGATCGTAAATAAAAATTCATCTCAAATTTAACTCACATACAAACAGCAATTTGATTAAATTGACAAAATATCTTAAAAGAGATAAAATTTTAAATAATAAAAAAGTTCAGAAATTAAAAAAACGATTGCGTCCTTTACTAATAAAAGAGAATATGAAAATTCAATAACAGATATAACTTCAGATATGAACCTTTAAACAGTGATTTGATAGATAATTGAGATATATGTATATATAAAGAATATTATCCATTAAAATAAACGTAAAAATTTTATATTTCATTCTTCCAAACTTATTGTTATACTTTCTTAAAATCAAACAAACTGTATTCTTAATCATTTTCTTTGACATAATCGGAAATATTACTTCGAATACTTCTTTACACAGAAATTTTTCGATTTCAATAAAAAAATATTTATGAAATTTAATTACGGATTACAAAACATTAAAAACCAATGCGCTAGTCATCTCCTCTGATCATACATATAAGACTACAATAAAAAAAATGGAAAAATTATTCTCAAAATAAACTATGGATTTGAAAATATTTTTTTTATTAAATAACATGATAATTCCTTCTTTTTTTTTCTAAAAATTCCAATTTATTCTAAACGTCGAGAAAATAAAATATTTCAAAAACGTGCATGCGGTTTTGTCCGGTTGCGTTCGTGAACTATGGCCCGATGAGCTCCAATCGTCAGAAATTAAGTACATAATTATAAATTATTTTATTAATTTTGAACATTTTTAAACAACAGATTTAATTATTCTCATAATTTTTGTATGACACGAGCTTAGTCATACGATAAGCAGAATCATTAATTAAAAAAAAAAATTCAAATACACAAAAATCATTGATACCTTTACATTAATATATGTAAGTATAATATATTTTTTACGAGATTAATTAAATTGATTTAAATATTGTTGAATTTAACAAAATCTTTGAACATTTATTATTTTAAGTAAAACTATGCGAATTTCTTTATAAATAATTAGACTCATAATAATTTACAAGCAGTAGAGAGTTCATTTCAAAATTAAGTAACGATATAGAAGTAACACATCGGAACAATCAGATACAAAAAAAAAGGAAAATAGTTGGTAGATGAGGTGTTTTTATCATTTATCAACACTGCGCACAGTGGATCAGTGGTGGTAAAAATCTTGAAAATGTGGTTGAAAATGTTTATACAGAGGTTTTCTTTAGAAATTATTTATTTATTTAGACATCACGGAACTTTTGTTTACCAAATATATTGATTTTCTTTCTTGAAATGCTCGTTTCCATCATGTGCTCCTTTTTGGTGTTATTGCTTAACACTTCAACTTTCATATGTATGAGCTAAATTGAGCATTGACTGCTTGCGTGAATGAAGTTAAGGCATTTACATCGTAAATGATATGAATTTATTTTGGTAGGGAAATTCATTTGCAGTGTGTCGTTTTTAATGTATAACTTAATTACATTGGTAAGTAATACTGAAGGTATTAATGTAATAATGTCTTTAAAAAAAATTTTTTCTCAATTTTTATAAAGAAGTTTGCAAATATTACAATAATTTTATAAATATCTAGTAGTGATGCATGTGAGAAAGTACATTTCAGAAGTAGTGAAAATTTCTAAAAACATGTGTTTTCATTAAATATAACTCATTAGCAACATAATTTACTTGCTCTGCACTTTCTTATTTCAGATCGATAAACAGACAGACAGTCTTGCGTTTCGTATATTAACAAACACGGCACCTTATGCACGAATGGAATTCTTAAATTTTTGGCAAAAATTTTCGTTAAGTGAAACGCCTACAGTCTTTACAAACTGAATATTTTTAAGATTTCTATTAACTAAGCTGATACGACTCTATTAACTTAGTCAGGTACTCATGCAAAGTTTAATATAGTACAGATCAGTACGACAAGGCATTTTTTTTAAACATGAAAAATCAAAAATGGAGGGATACTCGTTTCCCGCACATATTCAAGACGACTAATGAAAGAAAGCATTGCTCATAAAATTAAAGCAATATTTTCGCTATGAAGCTTTTGCTTTATGGCACAGTTAGTCGGTACGTACAGTAAGAATTCAAGTCAAAGCGAAATCCACAATCCATCACACACCGCTTGCAACAAAGGCGGCGAACTTTATTTATTTTGTTTCTATTAAATACACAGTTATGGTTGGTTGTGCATTTTGCTTTAGCTTAAGTTCGCTTTAGTTCTTACGGTACGTACCGACTAACTGAACCTTCATGTTTAAAAGCAAAACTTTTTACCCACCCTACGTATAAGGCAAATGTCATCACTTTTCTGTATTTGCACAACTGATTAACTATTGAAGCTCCTACACAAATTATTAACAGTAACATAACAAAAATATTCGGAAAACACGATATACATTTCATTGTAAAAAATTTACTTAAAATTGTATATTGTCGACCATGAGAAAAATGAATTTTTTTGTACTATGCAAGTACTGAGTACTGTAGATAGATATAGTGATACAAATTAATGCTTCAAAATTTAATTCTACAATTAATTGCTAAAATAAATTCAGTTTTCCTAATAAAATGAATATAAAACAATAAAATTTAAAAAAAAAAATCAAAGGCAAGTGTAAAAAAAAATATTATACATACATTATATAAACGAGACATGTCATTGTTCATTGTTGATAACATATTACAGCACACAAGTGCATTGCAATAAGCAGAACAGTATTGAAGAGCGAATTATACTCCCGTTTTATGCAAATTAGAGGTGTGATGGCAAAGAAAACAATGCTGAAGCGATTTTAATCGTGAATTTCATTGGCATGATTGCATTAAATATAGGGGGGAAATGATTCTCAAACTGCCTACATGTGATGGCTATAATTAAGTGAATCACATTTCTAATTACTACGAGTATGAGCATAAAAAATAGTTGATCATTTATACGATCAACCATGAGCACTCTGACTCACTCACCTACCTAAATGATCGTATTACGCTGGCGTTATATCAAATTCATAAATTAATACCCAAACAAAACAAAAAACACCAAGTGGTATGTGGTATGAACTGCCTGAACTTAGCTGTACAAGAAATTTTTTATAAAAATAATCAGGGATACTCGTAAGCAAAAATCTTTAATTTATGAATTTCATGCAAATGCCTCAGCATGCAGTATACATACTCAAACAGAGATATTTGCGTACTAAAAAAAACTTCAATTTAAATTTTTTAACACAAACGGGGAATGGGGAATGGGGAAGCAATGCGTGAAAAAGCACGAGTGTCTCTTATTTTACATCACAAAAATTTATGTCAGATGTCGTTACTTCATGGATACAAAGGAACTTTAAGGCAAAAATAAAACACTTCGGAATATGCAAACATTTAAGATTGATACAAAAAAAAATAACAATATAAGCCAGGTTCTAAAAGAGGCCTAAGACTTTTAAGAATGCATTTTAAACAACTTATCTGAAATAAAACGTGTTACAAAAACCTGGTAGGGATTTTATGATGCAACATAAAATCGAAGACACTAAAAAATAAAGTAAAATAAATCAAATATAAAACGTCGTAAGGCAGGCAATCTGCTAATGACCAAAGTGTGTATTTGGAATAAAGAATTTTATATGTTACAATCAAACTTCCATAACTCGAACTTCTATATATAACTCGACATTTTTATAACTCGAACTAAATAGAGTAGAACAAGGTTTCAAGAACAAATTACATACAATTACAAAAAAAAATCTTTAAATTGAACTATCAGAAAGACGAACCTTTTCTTTGCAAAATGGTACTTCGAATTATGGAAGTTTGACTGTATATTATATTCAAAAGAATATACTACTGTATCAAGAAAGTACCAGGAATAAGTTAATGAAAAATTAAATATGTATTATTTATCAAAATTTATTGCATCATTTATTAAATGATGTAAAGTAAGTTCTTGCAAATCGTTATCAGAACTTTTTTTAAAATGTGATTCATTCTAGCACATGATTCAGTTTTACAACGTTCCATGTCCAAACAATCATAAAAAATGACACGAACTGCATGATACTTGAGACACAAAAATTTCAAAGGCTATCTCTCTTTGACTTCAACAAGGATTTGAAATTGAACGTTGAAAACGTTGCTGGCCTATCAGGGCAAAGCAAATCTTCAATCACATCTCGACTGCCTGCTTTCAAATGCACTATATCACTCATAAGCAGGTGTTTGTAATAAAGTAAATTCACCGTAAATCTTTTGTAATATTTTAAGCGCTTTAAATTATTGTAAAAATCGCAAAACACAAAGGAACTTTTCAATGATCGATTCCCAGTACTTTCTAAACAGAATGTATACATATATATGTACTGGTAATATTTGTAATATGTTCCCTAATAATCAAAATCGAAAAAAAGTCTCTTCTAAGCGTAATGCTCTGTTTTTTGGATGAAAAGGAACTTTTCAATGATCGATTCCCAGTACTTTCTAAACAGAATGTATACATATATATGTACTGGTAATATTTGTAATATGTTCCCTAATAATCGAAAAAAAGTCTCTTCTAAGCGTAATGCTCTGTTTTTTGGATGAAAAGGA